TTTATTATATATATATATATATATATATATATATATACTAATAAAATAAATATATAAACTAATAAACTAATAAATATAAACTAATAAAATTTTATATAAATTTTATATATAAATTTTTTAAATTAATTACAACATCTTAGAAGCTTGGGAATTATTCGATTTTTTTTTTATAATGTTTTTGTATTATTGACCGAGAAAACTAAATATTTTTTTTAAATTGGTATTACGGTCGGAACTTTGGTATCGGTCATCTCTGTCGTTACTTACAGGCGAGATTCGAGTAAACGAACAACTGGTACTCACCTGCATGCACACTTTACTGGCGCGGGAGCATAACCGGCTCGCCAAAACGTTGGCAATCGTGAATCCGCATTGGGACGATGAGATTCTCTTCCAGGAAGCCAGGCGCATCGTCATCGCGGAAATCCAACACATCACTTACAACGAGTTCCTCCCGATATTACTCGGCAAAGATGTCATGGAGAAATTCGGACTTCTTCTCGAGAAGGAAGTGAGTTGGGCTGATGACACTGAAAAAAAAATCGATCAAAAGGCGTGATTATTTATGCGTAAAGACGTTACTTGTCGCCACGTAAAGATAACTTTAAAAGATAACGAGCCACTCGCTCGTATAGATGCACAAATGCAAATTTATAATACTCGTATGTTGTAATAACTGAGATTTAGCGGTACACATTTTTTGTTTTATTTATCGTTCGTTCGGCTAGTCTTTAATAAGCGATAATAGCCATGTTGACGTTGAGGTATTAATTTTCCATAGAAATACTGGGATGGATATGATTCGAGCATAAATCCAGGTGTAATAGATGCTTTCGCTGCTGCTGCCTTTAGATTTGGTCACTCGTTATTGCCAACGGCTGTGGAACGATGGAGCAAAGCTCATAAATTCATCGGTAAACGACAAAATATAATAATTATAAAATAAGATCATATCGTGCGTACAAATTATATTAGAAATCAGTAATGTCAATTATAAATTCTCAAACATTTTTAAAATCTATTTTTTTTTTTTAATAAATTAAAAAGTTTTTGTACGTTAAAAAATAGAATTAAAAGTTTTTAAACGTTTTGTACGTTAAAAAAATAGAATTAAAAGTTTTAAAAATAATAAAATTTTGTAGATTATTTAAAATAAATTTTTATGTTTTGAAATTTAGTTTTTTTAAAATATTTAATATTTAATATTGTGGATAATGAGATAACTTTTATATATAAAACTAATTTTTTGTTAAAAATATTTTATTCCACTTATTCTAATCATCTTATATTTTTATAGCTTCAAAGAGACTCTCGGATTTAATAAGACGGCCTTACGATTTGTATCGCGCTGGTGTATTCGACGAATATTTCATGGGCTTGATGAATCAAGTTGCTCAGGCTATGGATGATTCTATAACTCAAGAAGTAAGACAGATGATTAGCGCAAATGGAATATGTAATTACGTATCATATCGAACAATTTCTTTCTTTAACAGGTGACGAATCATCTGTTTAAAAAAGTAGGAGCAAAATTCGGAATGGATTTGGTATCTTTTAACATGCAACGTGGTCGAGAATTTGGTATTCCAAGTTATATGGAGTTTAGGTAAGCTATCGTATGTTACAGTTTAAGCCTATACTTGTATCAACAAACTTGTTTAATTAACCGTAGTTAGCTCTACTGTGTTTCGTAATAGTGACCTTATGTGATTAAACTGTAATAACCACCAGAAAAATAAAATGGTGCAGAGGGATGAATAGAAATAAAGTTGAATAATGATAATAAAATTAACAGAAGATTCAATCCATCGAAACGATTGATTAACAATCGAGATAATTAATGGAGGAAATTTAAACGCGCGACGACGAACAAATTTCAAACGATGGTATATCATAATTTTGCAATTCCAGAAAGTACTGCGGCCTTCCCGAAGCGAACACCTTCGACGAACTGTTCGGTTCTATGCCGAACGAGACCGTCAGGCGGTACAGCACTATCTTCGAGTGAGTGTTACATATCTGTAAGAGACCGGCGGCGGAACACCTTCGGAATACCGAAAGACCGATCGATCAATTTGTGCATCTCATTACTCATTAGTCAATGAAGCGGGAGGGTGCGCCGCGTACTAAAAATAGAACACATTCGGAAATAATTCGGCTTCACTCCTCCGGCGCGCGTTCCTTTTCAGACATCCCGCGGACGTCGATTTATGGTCGGGCGGCGTATCCGAGAGACCGCTTCCGGGTAGCATGCTCGGGCCAACCTTCGCCTGCCTGATTGCCACGCAATTCAGCCATTCGCGCCGCGGCGACAGATTCTGGTACGAGCTGCCGAACCAGCCGTCGTCCTTCACTCTCGGTGAGACCCCCTTTCGAATTCTCTTCCCAGTGGGAATCGCGAGTGGACGGGCGGGAGGACTCGCCAAGGACTCGCGACGACCGCCCGTTCGAAAATGTAACGAGGCGCCGCCTTCTAAAATCGCGCTCTCACTTTCACCTTTTTTAGAACAACTGAACGAAATTCGAAAGACGAAGCTCGCCAGACTGATTTGCGACAATACCGATCTCATCGACACGACACAAATCTATCCAATGGTCCTTCCCGATCACGAAATGTAAGTGGAAAACGATTTACGTAACAATGAATAAAATATCAAAAAATCGTAAATTAATAATTGTCAATTAGCAATGAACATATTCTAAGGAAAAATTATATTTATAGCCATATCCAAGCATCGTAATTTTGCATTCCATTTACTATAAATAAATAACTCAATAAAGAAATATTGCTTAAATCATTATATAATTCAATTTGTTTTATTCATTATTATTATTATTATATACTTATTTGCTACTTATTTTATTTGTTATATTAATGAAATAATTTTATTCTCTGTCGCTTTCCTTCAATTTTTGCTGTGTTTCTAAAAAATTTTTAGGGACATTGCTTTTTAACAATATAATGTACATACGATATATGTAATGTCACCAATATAATATTTTTAATTGCCTTGATAGAAATCCTCGAGTCCCATGTCGCAGCGGTATACTACCTGGCATCGACTTGTCGAAATGGGCCGAATTCCCGGCGACGAGTCACGCCACGCAATACGTGAGTAATCTAGCAGACCCATACGGGCAGTTGGGGAAATAAAGGAGGGTCTGTTTCACCAATCTAGATATAAACAGAGTGCCCTTAGGCGAACACCACCACGTAACCAACCGAGCCACGAGCCAAGAAGCCCAATCCTTAGGCACTTTAACACGAGACCATCCCGTAGGCACGCACGTGTTGAAGTAGAGCAAACAGTTAGACGCGACAAGCCACGCTTAAATTGAAACGGGTCGATTAAATCACGTAGCGCGAATATGGAATACAGAGTTGGCCCCCAGTTGTCGATCATACGCGAGCCGCCGTCCCGGGCGGCTCGTGATTTCAGATTCTGATGTATGACACACCTTTGATATAACGACTAGTAAATGTGTTGATACCATATCGTATCGCTACATATGATGATAAGCTTCAATTTTAATTGCCGACAGATCGATTAATTGAAGATAATAAGACGCGTGTCGACTCTGGATCTTTGGCAAAGTTAGAGAACACCTTTAGCTTCCACAGTAAAATCCCTATCAACAAAATGTACATATAGCTTCTCCTTGTAAAAGTGCATCACATGCGTTACATTTCGTGTACACCTTCATGCAAAGGGCAAGAAGAAGAATTTCATACATGATAGACTTAATTACTCCAACAATTATAATGCTATTTATATTCAAATTTCAGTCTTAATATTTTGTGTACGAAAGTTCTACTACGTAATATAACAGTTTGAATGCTGTTATGTATAATTGCATAATAGATTTTTCATAATTAAATTCTCTCTCGCGTATGAGTTTCAAAATCTTTATTATTATTTTATTCTATTTTAATGTTTATTTAGTAGCAATTAATATACTGAAATGTCTGCGAATATACTCCTTCTCGCAGATAACTTTGAATATTTAAATGTTTATCGAAAATTTTATTAGAATCTACATTAAGTCACATTAACGATTTACATTTGTTTAGTATTTTATTACTTAAGTTTTCATATATCAACAATTTTTTTTATCATGACATTTATAGTAATTTTTTTCATTATTTAATTATTTTAAAATAACATTAACATATTTTAATAACATTACATCCGATCGACATTTAATAACATTACATCACAATACTATAACTACAATACTACATTTGTTGTATATAGTTAATAATTACAATCCAATTGAATCATTTTTGCACATAACAATAAACAACCGTCTATTGCTCTTCAACA